CAAGGAAAAAAAATGCATGAGGGGCCAGGCATGATGGCATAACTTGTAATCCTAGCACTTTGGGAGGCAAAAGTGGGAGGATAGCTTGAGGCCGGGTGTTTGAGTCCAGCCTGGACACCGTAGTGAGACCCCCCCCAACTACAAAATATTAAAAAATTAGCCAGGTATGGTGACACATGCCTTTAGTCCCATATACTTGGGAGGCTAAGGTAAGAGGATTGCTTGAGCCCAGGAGTTTGAGGCTGCAGTGAGCTGTGATTGTACCACTGTACTCTAGCCTGGGTAACAGAGCGAAACCCTGCCTTAAAAAAAAAAAAAAAGGCATGAGGAATGGGCCTTACCAGATACTGAATCTACTAGTGCCTCGATCTTGGACTTTGCAGCTGCCAGAACTATGAGCAATACATTTCCATTGTTTGTAAATTACATAGCGTAAGGTATTTTTTTTTTTTTTTTTTTTTGAGATGGAGTTTCGCTCTTGTTACCCAGACTGGAGTGCAATGGCGCGATCTCGGCTCACCACAACCTCCGCCTCCTGGGTTCAGGCAATTCTCCTGCCTCAGCCTCCTTAGTAGCTGGGATTACAGGCACGCGCCACCATGCCCAGCTAATTTTTTGTATTTTTAGTAGAGACGGGGTTTCACCCTGTTGACCAGAATGGTCTCAATCTCTTGACCTCGTGATTCACCCACCTCAGCCTCCCAAAGTGCTGGGATTACAAGCTTGAGCCACTGCGCCCGGCCAAGGTATTTTGTTATAGCAGCAGGAAGAGACTGAGACAGACGGTCAAGTTTGTTTCTAGTCTCTTGCTCCCACAGTGCAGAGTGTCTTGTACTTTGTGTGTAGGCACAGAGGTCATAGGCTAAGTGATGAATAGTGTAACCGGATAGCTTGATGTGTGGAAACTTCTGCTAAAACAAAACAGAACAAAAAATTTGTATAAACAGTTAACCTGGCAGTTTGTGATTCCTTTAAATTCATCTTTCATCTTTCATTGGAACCATACAACTACGAAAATCAGTCATTACTGGACAGTTTAGGATAGGGAGAGAATTACTGGCTCACAGAGGTGTCAGTCTTTACCATCCAGGAAGGTTTCTGCAAATCCAGTGATGTGCTTTCTGTCAAATGAATCTTCCCTCCCTCCTCCCGTCCTTCCCCTTTTTCTCCCATCCCTTTCCTCTCCGCCTCCTCCTTTGCTACCCCCATTCATTCAAAGTGTGTTCAGTGAGTGTCCACTGATGGCCAGCATGGGAGATTTGCACTTAGGAACAGGAGTGGGGAGAGCGGTTGGACTCCTTGAGGCTTCTGTGTGTGTGTCTGGCTTTTGGACAACTTAGAAAGGGGCCAACAAGAATGACTTACTAGAAGTGAAACCTCTTAGCAGAGCCACACTCCAGCGGGAGCGCGGGTTTACTGGAATGAGGATGCTATTTTTAAGAAAGAGCACTGTGTTTCATCATGGAAATTTTGAGCCTCTGAGCAGGCAGCCTGCCGGCTCATTCATCTTTAAGGTCCTGAGGCACAGAGACTGTGTTTGCTCAGCTCTGTACCCCAGCACGCCCTAGCACCTGCCCTGTGGGAGGAACGGAAGAAGGAAGGTCTACGGTGGATAAGTAATATGTGAGTTGCTGCCACATCTGGTTGGTTTCACCTCACCTGGTGACATCCAGGGGCCTGGCAGGACTGGGACCTGGCTCCAGCCTGTGAGTGAGGGGCAGGGAGGTGAGCAGTCCAGCGAAGGACGTTTTTGTAGCTGTTTTTCGGGAGCTTGTACTTTAAAAAATGTCTTATTTAATGAAGCTCTCCTGAAAGACACGCTACCCTTTTTGGGGTCCTCAGAGTAGCTTTGTTTTGCCAAAGCAGACCAGATTCCAAGGTGTTCCTTTTCATCCTGGGAGGGTGACCTGGGAGTGGGGTGCTGATGTTGGCACCAGTGAGTTGCCCTCTTGGGAAAACCAGGTTGGGGGTGCCCTTGGGGTCGCTCTGCCGACAGCTGGTGTGCTGGCTTCTCTCCAGGTTATATGGCGCTCTGAGACATCATCTTTGTGGCTTGCTCCTCTAATGTGTTGCCGAAAAGGAAAGCTGGGGGAGGAGGGGAGATTCCCCCGCCCCCTCTTTTCCTTTATATAGCAATCTTGGTATAACCAGCAGCTGTGACAGCATGGGGTGGGGAAGAGACGCTAGGCTTTGGAATAAGGCTGACACAGCTCAAGGGTAGACCCAGCTGTTTCTTACGTCTCTGAAAACTTGGGTGCTCTAGCTCTTCCAAGTTTCTTTTTTTTTGTTTTTTTTGAGACAGAGTCTCCCTCTGTCACCCAGGCTGGAGTGCAGTGGCACCGTCTTGGCTCACTGCAACTTCCGCCTCCCGGGTTCAAGCGACTCTGCCGCCTCAGCCTCCTGAGTTAGCAGGGATTACAGGTGCCCGCCACCACACCCAGCTAATTTTTTTTGTATTTTTAGTAGAGATGGGATTTTACTATGTTGGTCAGGCTGGTCTCGAACTCCTGACCTCGTGATCTGTCCTTCCTGGCCTCCCAAATGCTTGAATTACAGATGTGAGCCACCGTGCTGTCCCTCCCCTTTTTTTTTTTTGAGATGGAGTCTCCCTGTATCACCCAGGCTGGAGTGCAGTGGCATGGTCTTGGCTCACCGCAACCTCGCTTCCCGGGTTCAAGCGATTCTCCTGCCTCAGCCTCCTGAGTAGCTGGGATTATAGGTATGTGTCATCACACCCGGCTAATTTTTGTACTTTTTTTTTTTTTTTTTTTGAGACGGAGTTTTCACTCTTGTTACCGAGGCTGGAATGCAATGGCGCAATCTCGGCTCACTGCAACCTCCGCCTCCTGGGCTCAGGCAATTCTCCTGCCTCAGCCTCCTGAGTAGCTGGGATTACAGGCACGAGCCACCATGCCCAGCTAATTTTTTGTATTTTTAGTAGAGACGGGGTTTCACCATGTTGACCAGGATGGTCTCGATCTCTTGACCTTGAGATCCACCCGCCTCGGCCTCCCAAAGTGCTGGGATTACAGGCTTGAGCCACCGCGCCCGGCTTAATTTTTGTACTTTTAGTGGAAACAAAGTTTTGCCATGTTAGTAAGGCATGAGCCACCGCACCCGGTCCAAGTTTCTCCCTCATCTATGATAGGTAGATGTTATAATAGTACTTACTGTGATAGATTTATTTTCTTAAATCCTATCTTAGCCGGGCGCGGTGGCTCAAGCCTGTAATCTCAGCACTTTGGGAGGCCGAGGCGGGTGGATCACGAGGTCAAGAGATCGAGACCATCCTGGTCAACATGGTGAAACCCCGTCTCTACTAAAAATACAAAAAATTAGCTGGGCATGGTGGCGCGTGCCTGTAATCCCAGCTACTCAGGAGGCTGAGGCAGGAGAATTGTCTGAACCCAGGAGGCGGAGGTTGCGGTGAGCCGAGATCGGACCATTGCACTCCAGCCTGGGTAACAAGAGCGAAACTCTGTCTCAAAAAAAAAAAAAAAAAAAAAAAAAAAAATCCTATCTTAAAAAAATTAATTTTTAACAGAGATGAGAATCTCACTTTGTTGCCCAGGCTAGTGTCAATCTCCTGGCCCCAAATGATCCTCCTGCCTCAGCCTCCCAAAGTGTTGGGATTACCACCATGCCTGGTGGAATCCCACTTCTTGAAACATGGTCTTGTGCCCCATAATGATGTATCAGCCAACCATGGACCACATATATCATGGTGGCCCCATTAGATTATAATACTGTATTTTTACTGTATTTTTCCTGTGTTTAGAGACAAGGACTTACCATTACGCTATGACTGCCTGTCTTATTCAGCACAGTCTCATGCTGTACAGGTGTGCAGCTGAGGAGTAATAATAGGCTGTATCATCAAGCCTAGTGTGTAGTAGGTGATCACACATCAGGTTGTGTAAGTCACTCTAGAATGTTCCACAGTGCTGAAACAGCCTAATGCATTTCTTAAAGCGTATCCCTGGCTGGGTGCAGTGGCTCACGCCTGTAATCCCAGCACTTTTGGAGGTCAAGGTGGGCACATCATCTGAGGTCGGGAGTTCAAGACCAGCCTGACCAGCATGGAGAAACCCCATCTCTACTAAAAATACACATAAAAAATTAGCCAGGCATGGTGGCGGGTGCCTGTAATCCCAGCTACTTGGGAGGGTGAGGCAGGAGAATGGCTCGAACCTGGGAGGTGGAGGTTGTGGTGAGCCGACGTCATGCCATTGCACTTCAGCCAGAGCAACAAGAGCGAAACTCCATCTCAAAAAACAAACAAACAAACAAAAAACCATACCCCTGTCGTTTAACAATGCATGGCTGTAAATCATTTGGGGTTGGGGACAAAGCATATTTTTTTAAAAAATTGTTTTCCTTTGCTTTTATTTTAGGTTTAGGTGGTGCATGTCCAGGTTGGTTAAGTAGGTAAATTGGGTTTCACTGGGGCTTAGTGTATGAATGATCCTGTCATTCAGGTAGTGAGCACAGTGCCCAATAACTAGCCTTCCAATCCATGCCCTCCTCAAATGTCCCTCTTCAAGCGGTCCCTGGTGTCTGTTGTTCCCATCCTTATGTCCATGTGCTCTCAGAGATCAGCTCCCACTTATAAATGAGAACATGCAGTATTTGGTTTTCTGTTCCTTTAAGTTCACTTAAGATAATGGCCTCCAGCTGTATCCATGTTGCTGCAGAGGACATGATTTCATTCTTTTTTATGGCTGCATCATATTCCATGGTGTGCATGAACCACATTTTCTTTATCCAGTCCACTGTTGGTGGGCATTTTGGTGACAAAGCGTCTTTTGTTTGGACCACAGCTTCTTGGGAGCTTCTGCCCTGTTTTCCTGTTTCATTGAAAGATGAAGCCCCAAGTATGGCTGTGGTCCTGAGCCAGAGAAGATGCTTTGGAGAAAAGCATTCTGAGAAGAGTGGGCAGACATGAGCACAGCCTTGATGCGTGGGCGTGGCCTTGATGTGTGGGTCTGTCTTTCCCACAGGTGCTGCGAGTGGCTGAGATGCTGCGGGGGAGGGGAGCCCAGGCCCCGCACTGTCTGGTTGGGGCATCCCGAGAAGAGGGACCAGAGGTATCCTCGAAATGTCATCAACAATCAGAAGTACAATTTCTTCACCTTTCTTCCTGGGGTACGTGCAGGCAGGGACCGCATTCTTTTTTTTTTTCCATGGCAAATTCATGTGTTGGTACAGTCTTTTTTTTTTTTTTTCAGATGGAGTCTCACTCCAGGCTGGAGTGCAGTGGTGCGATCTCGGCTCACTGCAACCTCTGCCTCCTGCATAGTGGGATTACAGGTGCCTGCCACCATGCCCGGCTGCTTTTTTTTTTTTTATTATTTTTTTAAAAAAGACAGTTTTACTCTTGTTGCCTAGGCTGGAGTACAATGGCATGATTTCAGCTAACTGAAACTTCTACCTCTTGGGTTCAAGCAATTCTGCTGCCTTAGCCACCCTGCCTTAAGTAGCTGTGATTACAGGAATCTGCCACCATGCCCAGCTACTTTTGTATTTTTAGTAGAGACAGGCTTTTTCCATGTTGGTCAGGCTGATCTCGAACTCCTGACCTGAGGTGATACACCTGCCTCAGCCTCCCAAAGTGCTGGGATTACAGGCTCAAGCCACCACACCCGGCCTCATTTTTGTATTTTTAGTAGAGATGAGGTTCCACTATGTTGGCCAGGCTGGTCTTGAACTCCTGACATCAGGTGATCCACCCACCTTGGCCTTTCAAAGTGGGAGGATTACAGGCATGAGCGTCTCCACCAGCCGGTACAGTCTTAAAAGACTGAATTCCCTGTGGCAGATGTTGGTGACTTTTCTGTGCCACCGTAGCCCCTGGTGGTTCATATTCCCTGGGCTCAGCACTGGGTGGTGGTGGCATTGGGGGGTGGGGTGGGGTGGAGGGGGTATTGTCTACAAGGCTGTGTGACCCTACCTGCTCAGTTAGAGTAGCTTCACATGTATTTGCTGTGCTGAGCCTAAGAGTGAAAAAGACATGCTGGGAACCTCCCAGTGTGACCAAAACAGCAGAAAAGAATGTCAGCGGTGCCTGAATTTCCTCCATCATGACACATTAGTCAGTATGAGCAAGCTGGGAGATAATAGCTTAGAGGGGAAAAAATAAAGATCTATTTTAATTCTACCCATCTCGAGAGAGAATTTTCATTAATATTTTTGCTAATAATAAATGTTTCTGGTGGCTTAATGCTTCCCCATTAACTTACACAAATCCATGGACATATACTCAGCAAGCCTCCCTCAACATGCACATAAATTCAGTATCTATTTTTAGCTTCCAAACACACACCAGTTGACTTTGAGAAGCGGCAGTAGCAATCAGCTCCAGTGCAAAACGGAACATAATGGCAGTGTTAGATATTGAGTGACAGAACAGAGGCAGAAATCTGCTATATAGTGTAGTTCAAGGTCAATTTGAATTTTTTTTTTTTTTTTTAAGAGACCAGATCTCACTCTCTTGCCCAGGCTGGAGTGCAGTGGCATGATCAGAGCTTATTTTAGCCTCAGCCTCTTGGGCTCAAGTGAGGCTCCTCTTCAGCCTCCCAGGCAGCAATTTGAATAAGGGAGGAATAGGTTCATTCTCTTTCGTGGAAAGTCAGATGCAGACTGGGCCACACTCCTCCACCTTCTGGCTGTGCCACCTGGATTATGTGGCCGCCAAAGTCACCATGGTGGCGCAAGAGGCACCAATGGCTCTTAACTGCCCTAGTATCGAAGAGACACAGTACTTCTATTCATTACCTATCGACCCAGACTAGTCATGTGGCATCAGTCTCACTCCTGGGTGCACGCCAGCGGTCAGAACCACGCTAGCACCCGCTGCTCCCCAGGGGAGGATTCAACTGTATTATTTTACAGAGTTAAGGTCATATTGTGGACATAACTTTTAAAAATTATTTTGTATTTTATGTTATTTTGTGAGATGGGGGACTCACTCTCATCCAGGCAGGAGTGCAATGACATGATCTCAGCTCACTTCTGTCTCCGCCTCCTGGACTCAATTATTCCTCCCGCTTCAGCCTCCTGAGTAGCTGGGACTACAGGTGCATGCCACCCTGCTTGGCTAATTTTTCTATTTTTTGTAGTGATGGAGTTTCACCATTTGCCAAGGCTAGTCTCGAACTCCTGAACTCAAGCAACCCGCCCACCTCAGCCTCCCAAAGTGCTGGGATTACAGTCCTGTACCACTGTGTCTGGCATGTTGCGGACATAACTTTTTATCTTTCTTTTTGGATTCAACCTTAGAGCATAAGCATTTCCCACCAGAACCTCGTCTTAAACACTATCTTGAGTGGTCTATGGAACTTACAAAGTATATAGTCTTAAGAAATAACACAGTCAGGATGCAGTGGCTCAGGTCTGTAATCCCAGCACTTGGGGAGGCTGAGGTGGGAGGACTGCTTGAGCCCGGGAGTTGAAAACAAACCTGGGCAACGTAGAGAGACCCTGTCTCTACAAATAACAAAAAATTGAGCTGGGCATGGTTGTGGTTTCAGCTACTTGGGAGGCTGCGGCAGGTGGATTGCCTGAGCCCAGGAGTTCACGGCTGCAGTGAGCTGTCATCATGCCCCTGGACTGAAGCCTGGATGACAGAGTGAGACTCGGTCTCAAAAATCCAAACCAAACCAAGCCCCAGAACACACATAACATAGTTGATGCCCCTGTGTGCCCCTCCATGTTAGATTTTACCCCCACCCCAGGAAGTAACTCCTCTTCTGAATTTGGTGTTTTCAATTTTCATGTGTGTCATTATTTACTCTTTTACAAATGATACTTTTATTATCCATGTGCGTTTTTCTAAACAGCATATGGAAGTGTTTAAGCTTTATGTGAAAGGTATCGTATAAATTGTATTCTTGTGCAGGAATTTTTTTTTTTTTAAGACAGAGTTTCGCTCTTATTGCCCAGGCTGCAGTGCAATAGCACGATCTTGACTCACTGCAACCTCCACCTTTCGGGTTTAAGCGATTCTCCTGCCTCAACCTCCCAAGTAGCTGGGATTACAGGTGCCTGCCACCACGCCCGGCTAATTTTTTTTACTTTTAGTACAGACAGGGTTTCGCCATGTTGGTCAGGCTGGTCTTAAACTGCTGACCTGAGGTGATCCGCCCACCTTAGCCTCCCAAAGTGCTGGGATTACAGGTGTGAGCCACCACGTCCAGCAGCAGGATGTTTTTTAAATACTGTTCATTTCCCAGCCGACCGTGGGGGCTCATCCCTGTAATCCCAGCACTTTGGGAGGCTGAAGTAGGCAGATCACGAGGTCAGGAGTTCAAGGCCAGACTGGCCAACATGGTGAAACCCCATCTCTACTAAAAAATACAAAAATAAGCTGGGCATGGTGGCTTATGCCTGTAATCCCAGCCACTTGGGAGGCTGAGGTAGGAGAATTGCTTGAACCGGGATCTGGGAGGCGGAGGTTGCAGTGAGCCTTGATCCCGCCTGTGCACTCCAGCCTGGGCTACAGAGCAAGACTCCATCTCAAAAAAAAACAAAAAATTATTCATTTTCCTCCAGATGTTCCAGATCTCATCAGACAAGCCCTGAGTGTCTCTTCTCTGTTTCTCTCCATTCCAGGTGCTGTTCAACCAGTTCAAATACTTTTTCAACCTCTATTTCTTACTTCTTGCCTGCTCTCAGTTTGTTCCTGAAATGAGACTTGGCGCACTCTACACCTACTGGGTTCCCCTGGTGAGTTAATCGGCATTGTTTGTTCAGTAACCTTAGAGGTTTGGAAACAGAAAGTTCTTTGTTTCTCTCAGGCATCTGGAATGGGATGGTGGCCTTGTAAGGGAAAGGATGCCCTCAGGCCAACACACTGGGAGTCCCTGAGACTTTAGTGTTGAAGCTCCATTTCATACACCACCTGGATCAAACTATAGCAAAGCCTGTGCCGTTCATTCATTCAGTCAGCAGTTGGGTCTTGCATGACCTCAGCAAGGATTTATTGCATGCTTATTGCATATGTGCTAGTCTAGACTCTGGGAACACAGTGGCAAACGAGATCTCCTGTCCTGATGGATTGTATCACAGGTTGAGCATCCCAGATCCCAAATTCCAAATTCTCTAAAATCTAGCTGGCCATGTTGGCTCATGCCTGTAGTCCCAGCATTTTGGGAAGCCAAGGCAGTCAGATTGCTTGAGGCCAGGAGTTCAAGACCAGCCTGGGCAACATGGTGAAACCCCATCTCTACTAAAAATTACCTGGGTGGGGTGGCACACATCTGTAAACCCAGCTACTTGGGAGACTGAGGCACTAGAATCACTTGAACCTGGGAGGCGGGGGTTGCAGTGAGTTGAGATTGTGCCACTGCACTCCAGCCTGGGTGACGGAGTGAGATGTGTCTCAAAACAAAACAAAAACAAAAAATTCCGAACGAATAAAAATAGTGCTCCAGAAATCTGAAACCTTTTAAGCACTATTTTCAGATTTGAGATGCTCAGCTAGTAAGGATGGTGCGGATGTTCCCCACTCTGAAAACATCTGCAGTCTCAAACACTTCAGCTCCCAAGCATTTTGGATCAGGGACGCCCAACTTGGATTGTTTTCTAAGCTCACATTTTCTTTGTGTCTAATGTAGAGTATTTGAGTGTGAGGGGTTGGAAAAGTAGCAGAGTCTGTGCTGCTGTGCACATGGTGTGTAGCAGAACTGAGTAGCCCCCTCTGCTCCTTCTCTGGCTTCCTTTTCTTTCTTCCCTTGCTTTGGCAGAGGGTGGTTGAGGACGTGCTGTGTGCCAGGCCCTGTGCCGAGCTCTGAGGGTGCAGCCATGAACAGAGTAGACAAACATTTCTGCCCTGTGGGACTGACATCCAGAGGGGATAGACAATAAGCCAGTAAATGAAATCGTTGCAAATCGTGAAAAGTGCTCTGATGGTAACAGAGTAAGGTCATAGGATGGATGGGGTATCCCAGGTAGGTTTGGTATTTTTTGCACAAATGAGGGTGAAGGATAGGAGATGTGGAGAGGCAACCTTAGCCTGTGTGGCTGTGAAAGACCTCCTGAGGAATGATGGGAAGTAGAATATTCCAGCAGGCAGCAGCGCAAAGGCCCTGCAGCAGGCATGTTCTTAGTGCATTTGAGAAACAGAAAGAGGTCCAGTGTCACTGAGCTGTGGAGAGGAGAGAACTGATACCCTTTTTCTCCAAACAGAGATATTATGAAATGCAATTGCTGTTTATAGTCTCACCAGGTGGGACCCAGGGGAACACTCAGATTTTCTGTTCATAAATCTTATTAATATTTTTATTTGTAATTAAAGAATTTGCTTTTAGGCCGGGCGTGGTGGCTCACGCCCGTAATCCCAGCACTTTGGGAGGCTGAGGCGGGCAGATCATGAGGTCAGGAGATTGAGACCATCCTGGCCAACATCATGAAACCCCGTCTCTACTAAAAATACAAAGATTAGCCGGGCATGGTGGTGCATGCCTGTAGTCCTAGCTACTCGGGAGGCGGAAGCAGGAGAATTGCTTGAACCCAGGAGGTGGAGGTTGTGGTGAGCCACTGTACTCCAGCCTGGCAACAGAGCAAAACTCCATCTCAGAATGAAAAGAAAGAAAGAAAGAAAAAGAAAGAAACAGAAACAATAGACCTTTTTGCTGTTGGCAGCAGGTGAGGGATGATGAGGATTTGGTGCAGAGGTGCTTGTGGAACGGAGGAAGCCAGATGCTCAGGGGCCTGGGAGTGGGTATGCCTACGCTGTACGTGCCATGTTATCAGGAAAGTGATACCAGCAGCTCTTGCCCTGCGAAGAGGAAGGGGGTTATTTCTTCCTGCGTTACAGGCGTGAGCCATGGCGCCTGGCCTGCCTTTTATTCTTTGAAGTGTTTTTAATCTTATTGTGCCAGGACTGCTATCTTAAGTCACCCCAGTGCCTTTCTGGAAGTCAGTGAGTTACAGGAAATGAAATACATGAAATGTGCATTTAGGGTGTTTGGAACCCTTAAGAACAAAGTTGTTTCTTCCTTCAGTGGGAGGCCAGACTGGTACTTGGGGTTGTAAATATAGATCGAATTGTTAATGTGAGTTTATTGCACATGCCATTCTGTTTCCCTTACTAGTGTTGTCCATATCAGCAGTGGTGATGGCAAACTCCAGCACCAGCCAGTGAGGGGAAGCAGGTGGCTAGAGTGAGCGGTGGGGACCGGGATGACCTGGAAGCCTCACGCTCTTCTAAAGGGGGCCCGGCCTTCAGTTCCAGTCAGTGTCTCCTTGCTAAAATGATGCCCTGAGGCTGGGCCTGTAACTCCCAACGCTCTGGGCTCTGTAATCCCAGTGCTTTGGGAGACTGAGGTGGGAGGATGGCTCAAGGGCGGGAGTTTGAGACCACCCTGGGCAGCATGTTGAGACCTCATCTCTACTGAAAATAAGAATCAAAGTTAGTCAGGTATGGTGGTGTATGCCTGTAGTCTCAGTTTCTTGGGATGTTGAGGCAAAAGCATCACTTCAACCAGGAGTTTGAGGCTGTAATAAGCTATGATCAGGCCACTGCACTCCAGCCTGGGTGACAGAGCAAGACCTTGTCTCTTAAAAAACAAAAACAAAAAAATAAACACAAACCAAATAAAATAATGCTCTGATTTTCCAAAAGAAAGCTGAAGTCCTGACTTTCAATGTAGGCCATAATAATTATTACTATTATTTTTTTGAGTCTTGCTCTGTCACCCAGGCTGGAGTGCAGTGGTATGATTTTGGCTCGCAGCAACCTCCGCCTCCTCGGTGCAAGCAATTCTCCTGTCTCAGCCTCCCAAGTAGCTGGGATTACTGGCATGCACCACCATGCCCAGCTAAGTTTTGTATTTTTAGTGGAGACGGTTCCACCATGTTGGCCAGGCTGGTCTTGAACTCATGACCTTGAGATCTGCCCACCTCAGTCTCCCAAAGTGCTGGGGTTGTGGGCATGAGACAGCACACCCCACAATTACTATTTTTAAAAAATTTATTTCCACTGAGGCCCTTTCAGCCTCTACCCCCATCCTCTGCTGTCTCCCAACTGACGGGCCTGTTTTCCCTTGACTGGAGCTCAGGACAGAAGCCAGACAGTTAACAGCTCGTCTCTAGGTTTTGGCGCCTCCAGCAGTGTGGTAGTTCCAGGTTGGAGGCCCTTTTATAGTCAGCATTTCCTGCGATGGCTAAGTTGGGGGATATTTACATTTTTGCCTCTCTTTCCAGGAACTACAGGAAAAAGGGCGTGGGGTGAAAAAGTAATTAGACAGCATCTACTTCTAGGTGACCATAACTGATTTCCCTTAATAATTTTTTTTTTTTTTTTTTTTTTTTTTTTTTTTTTTTGAGACGGAGTTTCGCTCCTGTTACCCAGGCTGGAGTGCAATGGCGCGATCTCGGCTCACCGCATCCTCCGCCTCCTGGGTTCAGGCAGTTCTCCTGCCTCAGCCTCCTGAGTAGCTGGGATTACACGCACGTGCCACCATGCCCACCTAATTTTTTGTATTTTTAGTAGAGACGGGGTTTCACCGTGTTGACCAGGATGGTCTCGATCTCTCGACCTCGTGATCCACCCGCCTCGGCCTCCCAAAGTGCTGGGATTACAGGCTTGAGCCACCGCGCCCGGCCAATTTTTTTGTATTTTTAGTAGAGATGGGGTTTCACCATGTTGGCCAGGCTGGTCTCAAACTCCTGACCTCAGGTGATCCACCCGCCTCAGCCTCCCAAAGTTCTGGGATTATGAGCGTGCGTCACCACACCTGGCAACCCTTAATAGATTTTTATGTAAAGAGTCAATTTTCAGTTCTTGGCTAGAACACATTTTGAAATGTCTTCTGACCATTCTGAAAGTCGCCTCACTTCAAACCCAGCTCCTAAGTGCAGTGGTTCTGAATGAGGGCTTTGGAGCCAAGTGGTTTGGGTTTAGCCCCTTTCTTTCTTTCTTTCTTTTTTTGAGTCAGAGTCTTGCTCTGTCATTTAGGCCGGAGTGCAGTGACAAGGTCTCAGCTCATTACAACCTCTGCTTTCCAGGTTCAAGCAATTCTCTTACCTCAGCCTTTTGAGTAGCTGGGATTACAGGTGGCCACTACACCAGTTCATTTTTGTATTTTTAGTAGAGATTGCTTTCACCATGTTGGCCAGGCTGGTCTCGAACTCCTGACCTCAGGTGATCCTCCCACCTTGGCCTCCCAAAGTGCTGGATTACAGATGTGAGCCACTACACCGGACTGGGTTTAGCTCTTAACTGCACTTTGGGAAGCCGTGTTATTTGAACCCAGCCTACTTTTCTGAGCCTCAGTCTTGTCATTTGTAAAAAGGGACAATCCTTTCTACTGCCTTGGTTTGTTGGGAGCTTTAGATGAATTACTGCAAGTAAAATGCTTCATGTGGCTATATAGAATTCTCAGGAAATGTTCTCATTTTCATTTTTAAATTCTGCCGCTAATGACATGTTTTTCATTGTTCAGATTACATTTTAGTTTCCCCCCGCCCCCCGCAAGACAAGGTCTCATTCTGTCGCCCAGGCTGGAGTGCAGTGGTTTGATCTCGGCTCACTGCAACCTTTGCCTCCTGGGCTCAGACAGTCCTCCTGCCTCAGCCTCCTGAGTAGCTGGGACCACAACAGGAGCCACCATGCCCGGCTCATTTCCCTCCCCCGCCCCCAGGTTTCAGGTTTCTGTTTTCTTTCGTAGAAACTGGCTAATTCTTTTTATAGTTTTTGTAAAGATGGAATCTCCTTGTGTTGCCCAGGCTGGTCTCGAAGTCCTGGGCTCAATCGATCTTCCTGCCTTAGCCTTCCCAAATGCTGGGATTATAGGTGTGAGCCACCACACTCAGCCACGTTTTAGCTTTTAATAATTTTTTTCTTGGTACTAATATATTAGGGAAGAAGTAACTTAGGAGAGCAGAAATAATCTGTAACATAGTATGATGACAAAATAAATTTAGGGTATTTTTGGTATTGAGATATAATCTATATACCATAAAATGCACAGATCTTCAGTTTCCGATTCATTCAGTTTTGACGTTCATCAACACCCACATAAATACCACCTCAGTCAAAAGACAGAACATTTCCATCACTCCGGGAAGTTCCCTAGTGCCTGTCCCTGTCACCCCACATACCCCCTGCCCCAGACAACTGCTTTGCTGATTTCTATCTCCCATAGATTAGATTTGCTTTAGTGAATTCATTTTTGATGTACAACTTTACAAAAGAGGCTTGCACCTTCCGAGTTGCTTGTCTATGAGTTATCACTGGCCTGTGATTCTTTTTTTTTTTTTTCTTTGAGATGGAGTCTCGCCCTGTTGCCCAGGCTGGAGTGCAGTGGCGCGATCTCGGATCGCTGCAACCTCCGCCGCCTGGGTTCAAGTGATTCCCCTGTCTCAGCCTCCTAAGTAGCTGGGATTACAGGTACCTGCCACCATGCCCGGCTAATTTTTGTACTTTGAGCAGAGACAGTGTTTCACTGTGTTGGCCAGGCTGGTCTCAAATTCCTGACCTCAAGTGATCCACCTGTCTTGGTCTCCCAAAGTGCTGGGATTACAGGCATGAGCCACTGGGCCCAGCCACTTGACTGTGATTCTTCACCAGCTTAGACAGTTGCCTCCTTCAACACCCCCTTGCCCTGCCCCTTAAAGCTTCTTTCTAAATATCTGTGGATGGATATTAAGGACCTCCTAAATTAGATGGTTGGAATTTATTCCTGGACTGCATTTGCATCTCTTTGTAAAGCAATTTCTAGCTCAAGGCATGGCATGGCCTCTAGGATGAATGAGAGCTATGTGTGTATGTGTGGGGAAACATGATAATTTAGGAGGTGGTATTTATTTGCAGCAGGGAGGTTAGTGCTTCCCCCCTGTCTTTGCATGAGCAACATTTTCCATGAACATCAGTGGGATTTAGCCAGGCCCATGCAGAGACAAATAGAAACTTGCAACATTAAAAAAAAAAACAAACAACAACAAAAACTTGGGTTTTGGCACAGAGCAACGTAATAGCAGCATGGTGGAGCGGGGAGTTCTGCAAACCGGTCCTGTGCTCCTCCTGAAACAGGTTTTCTGTCTCTCCCTATGTGGTCTGGTTATGCTTTGATTCTGAAATGTACCAGTTTTCTTTTGGCTGCAGTGTGTACTTTACATCTGATTGGAAACAGGAGTAATCCTTTGATTGTAAAGATGTATGGGCATTGGGAGGAGTTTCACAAAGCAGCACATCTCTGGATAGATTTACATAAGAGATTTAGGCCGGGCGCGGTGGCTCAAGCCTGTAATCCCAGCACTTTGGGAGGCCGAGGCGGGTGGATCACGAGGTCGAGAGATCGAGACCATCCTGGTCAACATAGTGAAACCCCGTCTCTACTAAAAATACAAAAAATTAGCTGGGCATGGTGGCACGTGCCTGTAATCTCAGCTACTCAGGAGGCTGAGGCAGGAGAATTGCCTGAGCCCAGGAGGCGGAGGTTGCGGTGAGCCGAGATCGCGCCATTGCACTCCAGCCTGGGTAACAAGAGCGAAACTCCATCTCAAAAAAAAAAAAGAGATTTAAAGTCCTTTGAATCGAAGCTAATATATTTCACAGTGTAAACAGTATGAAAGTGAAATTCTCCAAGAACCACAACTGCTAACCCTTGGGTGGTGATGCTATCTATATTAAAAAAAATAACTGTCCTGGCAAGCTCTAAAAGGGGTTGGGGGTGAGGAATGACAAGGAAAATGAATGACTATAAGCACATAAGTAGAATGAATGACTGATTTTGGCTTTATTGATTACAAGAGAAAAAAAAATCTAGATTGGAAGTAGATTCTACTATGGGTTATGCCCTCCACTCAACCAGATTTTATGAGTCGGGATTCCCAACTCAGGGGAAGGCTGGGGAAGTTTAAAATTTTTATTAGTTGCTACTTATGCAATTAATACCTTAATGTGGTTTCCTTATAAAAACTTAAAACAGCTGGGTGCAGTGACTCATGCCTGTAATCTCAGCATTTTGGGAGGCTCAGGTGGGTGAATTTTGTGAGCTCAGGAGTTTGAGACCAGCCTGGGCAACATGGCAAAAACCCATCTCTCACTGGGTGTGGTGGCTTAATTCCAGCACTTTGGGAGGCTGAGGTGTGCAGATCACTTAAGGTTAGGAGTTTGAGACCAGCCTGGCCAACATGGTGAAACCCAGTCTCTAGTAAAAATAAAATATTAGCTGGGCATGGTGGCGGCTACCTATAATCCTAGCTACTTGAGAAGCTGAGGCCAGAGAATCTCTTGAGCCCGGGAGGCGGAGGTCACCGTGAACTGGGATTGTGCCCCTGTACTCCATCTTGGACAACAGAGTGAGTCTCTATCTTAACAACAACAACAACAACAACAACAACCACCACCACCCATCTCTACCAAAAATACAAAAAATTAACCGGGTGTGGTACCACAGGCCTGTGGTCCCAGCTACTCGGGAGGCTGAGGCGGGAGGATCTCTTGAGCCTGGGAGGTGAGATTGCAGTGAGTCAAGGTCATGTTACTGTACTCCAACCTGGGCGACAGAGCAAGACCCCATCTGAAACAAACAAACAAACAAACAGAAAAACCCAAAAAACTGAAGACATTACAGATAGTCTGAAGCTTGTTTCAGTCCCTCCCTATCCTGATCCTAGTCTCTTTCCTGGCAGAGAAATCTAGTTGGTAGTTAAGGAAATTGAAAACATTTAACAGTATATAGAATCTCTGTTGCTATGTATGGCCATGCATGGTGCCTCACACCTGTAATCTCAGCACTTTAAGAGGCTGAAGTGGGTGGATCACGAGGTCAAGAGATCGAGACCGTCCTGGCCAACACGGTGAAACGCTGTTTCTACTAAAAATACCAAAATTAGCTGGATGTGGTGGCGCATGACTGTAGGCCCAGTTACTTGGGAAGCTGAGTCAGGAGAGTTGCTTCAACCCAGGAGGCGGAGGTTGCAGTGAGCTGAGATCGAGAGATCGTGCCACTACACTCCAGCCAGGTGACAGAGTGGGGGTAAAAAAAAAAAAGCATCTTTGTTGCTATATATGTGAATGATGTTACAGTGTATGTCCTGAAAGACTGATTTTTCCACTTGGTTCTGTGAATGCAACAGATGTATCTTACTCCTTTTAACTGTTCCTGGCCGTCCCTCTCACTGGCTCCATCTACCTGTGTTTCTCCAGAGCAGGCGTCCTCAAACTTTTTACACAGGGGGCCAGTTCACTGTCCCTCAGACCGTCGGAGGGCCGCCACATACTGTGCTCCTCTCACTGACCACCAATGAAAGAGGTGCCCCTTCCTGAAGTGCGGTGGGGGGGCCGGATAAATGGCCTCAGGGGGCCGCATGTGGCCCGAGGGCCGTAGTTGGGGGTAGCCTGCTCTAGAGGCAGTAAAGATTGATTGCCTACATTTTGATTCCCGTTTATCACTTGGTAGGTGCCTCAGTTTCCTCATCTGCATGGGGATCTTAGTTATGGGAGTGTACCTCAAAGGGTTGTTGTGAGGGTGAGAAGCACCTCCAGTAGGGCCCAGCACATGGTGGGTGAGAGACAGTGTTTGAGGTCACCATCACTTGCTTGGGGAAGAACAATTTGAGTGTTCCTGTGTTTGTCACTCTCACCCCAAGGTGGTAAATGCAGACATCCTTGTATGTGTGTGGCAGCGAGTGTGTCTGTAGGGTAGTGTTTCTGCAGGGTGTGTTTGTGAGTGTGTGTTCCCTGAGTGATTCGGAGAGAGGGGCTTGCAGGGGGCAAGTGCATTTGGAATAACTTGAGGCACTCCCTGCCCGGGGGCGCTTCGAAGGTCCTGCCCTGCAGCAATCCCAAGTGGCCTCTCGCCTTTTCTGCCCCTGGCACCAGGAGAGGACAGTTGGCTGCAGTGGGGCTCACTGCCTGTAGCAAGGCTCACTGTCGTCTGTCTCTGCAGGGCTTCGTGCTGGCCGTCACTGTCATCCGTGAGGCGGTGGAAGAGATCCGATGCTACGTGCGGGACAAGGAAGTCAACTCCCAGGTCTACAGCCGGCTCACAGCGCGAGGTCAGCCTCCTGGCTCCTGGGCCACAGGGGTGCAGGTCAATCATGGGCCACTGACAGTCAGGGGAGAAGAGTTCAAGGCCTGGGCCGTGGGTGTGGGAAGGCCACATGGCTGAACGGTTGCTTCATGGCCCCAGCACCAGGGAGGCCTCCATCTGCTCTGGATGACAGGTCGATGGGGTCCCACCAGTCCCCGGCGGCATCCACAGGCCTCTTGGTATTGGTCTTGTCAAATAACTTGTGTGTCATCAGCCTAGGATGACGTTCTGTGTGCTGGCATCCTCGCTGGCTAATCCCTTTCCCTTTTTGCCACCTGGCTGAGGAGGGAAGGAGGGTACCCCTGCTGTTCACATGGCAGACTGGAAAGTTTTTTTCGGCAGTGATTACTTTAAAGCCAAACTGTTGCAACTTGAGTACAGATTTAGGTAAATACTGCATGCGGGAAGATTTCTTTGAATGCATTTTATAAATCCTGGAAATTGAAGCCTGGAGAGTGTGGAGTCTGATCCAAAGACAGTGACCAGATGTGTATGTCAGAGTTGTATGTTTTGGCTCAAAAACAATTGAAATTTTGGACTGGTACAGTGGTTCACAGTCTGTAATCCCAGCACTTTGGGAGGCTGATGTGGGCGGATCACCTGAGGTCAGGGGTTCAGAACAGCCTGGCCAACATGGTAAAAGCTGTCTCTACTATAAATACAAAAATTAGCCGGACATGGTGGTATACATCTGTAATCCCAGCTACTCAAGAGGCTGAGGCAGGAGAATCACTTAAATCTGGGAGGTGCAGGTTGCAGGGAGCCGAGATCATGCCATTGCACTTTAGCCTGGTGACAAGAGGGAAACTGCTTCTCTCTCTCTCTTTTTTTTTTTTTTTGGTTTAGACAGAGTCTCACTCTGTTGCCCAGACTGGAGTTCAGTGGCACGATCTCAGCTCACTGCAACCTCTGCCTCCGCAGTTCAAGCAATTCTGCTGCCTCAGCCTCCCAAGTAGCTGGGACTACAGGCATGCACCACTATGCCCAGCTAGTTTTGTATTTTTAGTAGAGACAGGGTTTCACCATGTTGGCCAGGATGGTCTTGAACTCTTGACCTTGTGATCCATCCGCCTCAGCCTCCCAAAGTGCTGGGATTACAGGCGTGAGCCACCGCGCCCAGCTGGAAACTCCCTCTCAAAAAAAAAAAAAAAAAAAATTGAAATTTTAATAAGTTTCCCACGGATATGAAAATCCTTTCATCATTGACCCCCTTGCAAGATATGTGCATTCTAAACAATAGAACTTAAAAACCCACTCAGACACACCATGGAAAAGCCACAAAACAACCCAGCCAATGTTGGCTTCCGTTTCTTTCTTTCTTTTTTTTTTGAGACAGACAGGCTGGAGTGCAATGGCGCCATCTTGGCTTACCACAACCTCTGCCTCCTGGGTTCAAGTGATTCTCCTGCCTCAGCTTCCCGAGTAGCTGGGATTACAGGCATGCGCCACCATACCTGGCTAATTTTTCTATTTTTAGTAGAGAAGGGGTTTTTCTGTTTGTCAGGCTGGTTTTGAACTCCTGATCTCAGGTGATCCACCCACCTTGGCCTCCCAGAGTGCTGGGATTACAAGTGTGAGCCACGGCGCCCAGCCGTTGACTTCTAGCTACAACAGATTTACTGTAAGGTTGCATTCAGAAATGAGAGAATGTTACCTAAAGTTTGCTAATCTAGCCAAGGAAAATCTATTTGATTGTCTTCTGAGATTCCTGATCCCATTCAGGGATGGATGCTATTTAAAGAGGTTGAGGGGAATAAAGGCTGTGCCTTGCCTTCAGGAAATTGAGAATTTGGAAAGAGATAAGATGGATAGATGCCAAGGGATTTAGCACCCAAGCCAGGCAGGGTCTGAACTGCTGTTCTGTTAAGTGCTTTATGCTTTCAAGGAAGTAGTCCATCCACAGTTTCTTGGGGGTTTTCAGTAGTTTTCCTTTTGGGAAAAATGTCAGAGGTATATGTTTTGGGCCAAAAAAAAAATGGAAATTTTGGCCAGGTGTGGTGGCTCATGCCTGCATTCCCAGCATTTAGGGAGGCCGAGGCGGGCGGATCACCTGAGGTCAGGAGTTGGAGAGCAGCCTGGCCAACATCGTGAAACCCCATCTCTACTAAAAATACAAAAATTAGCCAAGTGTGGTGGCAGGCGCCTGTAATCCCAGCTAGTCAGGAGGCTGAGGCAGGAGAATCGCTTGAACCTGGGAGGTGGAGGCCGCAGTGAGCCAGGATTGTGCTATTGCACTCCAGCCTGAGGGGCAAGAGTGAGACTTCGTCTCAAAAAAAAAAAAAAAAAAGCAAATATTAATTGTATTTTTCAAGAGTATGAAAATATTTTGTTTTAGCGTATTTGAATACATTGTCATGGTGGGTGGTCTTAAAACTGTGCAAGTCTCTGTGAGAATGGTGAATTCTGAGTTGGTATAGAAATGCTTCATTCATGCTAAACTACTGTATTTAGGACATCTTGCTACTAAAAGAAAAAGAATCAGTGTAATCTTTGCAGAGGCAGGTGGCTTGGGCTTTCCGAGTGAGTGGTCAGAAGACCTCTCTGGAGGGCTTTTTCTTGTGTGGTTCGTGTGTATTAAATCCTCCCTTAATAACATATTCTTACTATAACATTTAAAACGCCTGGCAACCAACAAAAGCCCCATCGGGGAGAGTGCGGTGGATCTCTTTAGAGCTCGGGAGAAGAGGCCTTCGGATTCCATTCATTCATCCATCCAGGCTTCCACCCTTCTTTGGTTCTTTTCATATTGCAATTGCTTTTCCCATGAATGATTTTTCTGCCCTCCGCTGCACACCCCTTCCCGGCTCTTGCTTTAACTTCACCCAGCTCTTGAAAAGGTCCTAAGGAGAATTAGCAGATGGCTCGAGCATTAAAAACGTGTCTTCCTTTGTGGGTCTCCCTTTGTGGCCCGTGGCGTCTATTGTCATGCCAATGGCACTGTAGGGAAAACAACACCGTTCTGAATATTAACCCAGACCCTAGCGCTGCAATTTGTTATGAAAGCCCAAGAAAACACTGAAGAAACTGTCAGCTTGGAAAGCGATCCAGGCGCGTTTAGTTATTTGTTATGCTTTTGGGGAAGGGCCAGGGTAGCAAACCTCAGTTGGGAGATTGCAGGGAAGAGGGAGAAAAAGAAGCCTTTTTTTGACTTTCCTGTCGAAATCCTTCATAGTATTTCCTTGAGTGAAACTTCACCATCTTGACTTAGTAAGATCAAAAGCAAAATGAAACAAGTATGTATATGTATATTCATGGCGGGCTGTTACTTTTTTATCACATGAAGTCTTAAAATGTACTTTTCAACACTATTTTGCAGGGTGAGAATGTTCAGGAATCATAGTGCCTTGATGACTAGGTTTTAAGCCATGGTATTTACCTAGTTGCCACATCCTTTTGTGTACTTGTGCTTTTATAGTTAAAAAAAATTTTTTTTTTTTTTGAGACGGAGTTTTACTCTTGTTACCCAGGCTGGAGTGCAATGGTGTGATCTCGGCTCACCGCAACCTCCGCCTCCTGGGTTCAGGCAATTCTCCTGCCTCAGCCTCCTGAGTAGCTGGGATTACAGGCACGCGCCACTATGCCCAGCTAATTTTTTTGTATTTTTAGTAGAGACGGGGTTTCACCTTGTTGACCAGGATGGTCTCGATCTCTTGACCTCGTGATCCACCCACCTCTGCCTCCCAAAGTGCTGGGATTATAGGCTTGAGCCACCATGCCCGGCCCCTACAGTTAAATTTTAAAATTTATTTTTGCAATAATTCCTAACTAGTCAAAATTTGCCAAAATGGTATGGAGAACTCCAATATGCCCTTAACCCAGATTCATGAATTATTACATTTTGTCACGGGTATTTATTTATTTAGAGACAGGGTCTCCCTGTGTCACCCAGGCTGGAGTGCGGTGGTGGGACCTCAACTCACTGCAGCCTCCACCTTCCAGGCTCAAGCGAGCCTCTCGCTTCAGCCTCCGAGTAGCTGGGACTGCAGGTGTGCACCACCATGCCCTGCTAAGTTTTTATTTTTTATTTGTAGCGATGCGGTTGGCATGTTGCCCAGGCTGCACAGTTGCTTTTTTCTTCTTTTTTTTCTTTCCCCTGTGCAGGCTGGAGTGCGGTGGCACATTCTTGGTGTACTGCAACCTGCACCTCCCAGGTTGAGGCGATTCTCCTGCCCCAGCCTCCCGAGTAGCTGGGATCACAGGTGTGTGTCACCACACCTGGCTAATTTTTGTATTTTTAGTAGAGATGGGCTTTCACCATGTTAGCCAGGCTGGTCTTAAACACCTGACTTCAGGCAATCTGCCTGCCTCGGCTTCCCAAAGTGCTGGGATTACAGGCGTGAGCCACCGTGCTGGCCACAGTTGCTTTTTAATACTTTCTTTTCCCCATGTAAATATACATATAGGTGTATCTGGGGTCATTAGAGACAAGTTGTAGACATAATTCCCTTTTTTCTTTTTTCTTTTTTTTTTTGAGACAGAGTCTTGCTCTGTCACCAGGCTGGAGTGCAGGTGGCGTGATCTCAGTTCACTGCAACCTCCGCCTCCCAGGTTCAAGAGATTCCCCTGCCTCAGCCTCCTGAGTAGCTGGGACTACAAGCCCGCATGACCATGCCTGGATAATTTTTTTTTTTTTTTTTTTTTTGTATTTTGGTAGAGATGGGGTTTCACCATGTTGGCCAGGCTGGTTTTGAACTCCTGACCTTGTGATCCACCTGCCTCTGCCTCCCAAAGTGCTGGGATTAAAGGCGTGAGCCACCGAGCCCGGCCAATTCCCTTTTATGCCTTAAATACTTAAGTGCTTAATTCCTTAAAGGACGTTTCTCTTATATAACACAATTATGTACAATTTCCAAAATCAAAAAAATCGAACATCAATATATTGCTATTAATCTAATTTAGAATCCATTTTAACATTTTGCCACCTGTCCCTAAAACGTCCTTTGATAGCATTGTTTTCTTAGTTGA